CCTTCTCTAAATTTTACCCCTGCATGGCCCACAAAAGGGTGAGTCAAAAGCGGTCAGCTTCCCACTCCTACGCTGGCCACTTGCAGCAGCACAGGGCCTTGACTGCAACCAGCGTAGGAGTGGGAAGCTCGCCGCTTGCAGCAACACACCCTCGTTAGACCCTGGCCACTGCAGGCAGCACAGCTGTGGAAGCTGGCCACTTGCAGCAGCACAGGCTCTAATTGCAAAAGCAGCATGCAAAAGCCGAAGCAGAAGCAAAAGGCAAATGCAAACGCAAAAGCAGATGCAAAAGCAGATGCAGAAGCAAAAGCAAAAAGCAAAAAGCAACAGCAAAGGGCAAAAGCAAAAGCAGAAGCAAAAGTAGAAGCAAAAAGCAAAAGCAGAAGCAGCAGCAAAAAGCAAATGTAGAAGGAAAAGCAAAAGCAAATGCAGAAGCAAAAAGCAAAAGCAGAAGCAGAAGCAAAGGGCAAAAGCAAAAGCAGAAGCAAAAAGCAAAAGCAGTAGGGAAAACAATGTGAAAAAAAAAAAATTGAACAAATATCCGAAAAATAGGGGTTCCCTAAAAAAACGTGCTTTGCATCCCTTCGCCTCATACCAAGTCTTCCGGGTCTTTTTCGCGTGGGCTGGCCATCCGAACCTCTCGCTGGATCATCTGCTGGAAGAGAGCGAGTGCTTGCTGCCAACGCCTCCTAGGCAAGCGACCATGCGAAGAAGCGAAGGGAGGTGAAGGGTCTAACTCTTCGACTTCTTGCTTGAAGCCGTTTACCTGGAAACATGTACTTCCATGCTACTTACAAAATCTACAGTATCACACTTTATCCAACCTGTTCTTAGTTTGGCGGGGAGGACACCCACATGTCTCCACCGAGGAAGACGTCTAGACGTTTGTGGCGGACATGTTTGATCCTGCTACCGCCAGACTCAAAGTCGACACGAAACCCCTGGTGCATCCTGGTTCCCAGACCCATTGGGACTCGTATCCCAGACACGACCAGTCTGGGACTGGCAGTCCGGACTGCCTACAAACATTGACCCCCGAGCCTGGCCCACCCCTGGCCTGATCGGATTTCAGTCCTTCCAGTGCCATTCGTCGCGTCTGGGATATGGTTTGGACCCCGACCTTTGCAAAGGCCTCAAACCAAAGGGATCGACGTTCTCCAGCTGCCGTCGAGCATCGCAGTCGACAGGATCTTGAGCACAGAAGTAAAGGTCACGACGTTGCACAAGGACTGTCGCAAACCTTGGAAGAAATCTGGGATTTGGTTGTTTAGACTATGGTGATATGAATTCTCACTGACATCTGGAATTCAATGGATGGTGGTTTCTCACTATACTGGATTCTCAATGAGCTGGTGAAATGTTCTCACTCGATTGGATGGTGATGGAAGATTGTGATTGTGGCTCGCATGGGGAGTTGATAGGCCTGATGATCTAGCAGCTGCAGTAGCTTGCAGATTTGAAGCAGCAAACCCAGAATCACCTTCGAACCACCTACACCACACATTCGATTCAAACATATTCCAACTAGTTGGAGGCTAAGGCAAATACGTACATGTCTGTAAAAGTACAAGTACAATAAAGGTTTCAGGGGATTGCATGTCAGCAAAATCTAGGGGATGTCACCGCAAGCCGCAAGACCAAAGTTCTACTTCAAGGCCACCTGATTCCACCCAAAAGCTTCCCCCACTGCCTTGAGACGATTAATAAAGATCTGGGTTGCTCCTTTTCTCTTCTTGGGTTCACATATGGGTGTGTCTTAAAATAGGGGGACCTCCCAAAGACCCAATAGAAGAAAGGACATAATTAGACCAAAACCCTTTGGTTGGGGGGCTCCTTTTTTTTCAAATACACACCCATATCCATGTTTCATCCTTTCTTCGTCAATTGGCTTCCGAGTTGCTACTTTCCAGGAGACTCACCGAGTGACACCAGTCACATCCTCGCGCGTCGCAGCGCGGAAAGCGGTTCGTTCCGCGACTTCGACGCGACGTGTCACCATCTTTTGAAATGAAAACGGCGGACCCCCCGGTGTAGTAGACAAATGTCTGTTTCAAGGCGTGCCCTACTTCCAAAGCACCACATGTTCAACATGCTTAAAAACACACACACACACATCAAACCTAGTAATTAATCAATAGTATATAATTAGTAGTTGGGATCCTGACTGCCCAAACACACACACACATACACAATGACAATTTGTAGGATGTTCATCCCAAGAGCAATTCCCTACAAGGCCTCAATGAGCCACAGGTGGTTTTACCTTGCAAAACTTGCCCAGGCTGGCCTCTCTCAACACACGAAACACTTATGCTAGGTATTGCTAGGTATAGTATATGATCATGCTAGAACATGGTGTCTTGCGCATTCTTGCGCAGTGTTTTTTCCAGCTGTTCCAACCTTCCTGCCAGAATGGAGGTCCTTTCCAAATGGCCAATGGCCACGGTTCTTCACAGCTGTTACCCCGCCTGGAGCTCCCAGCGTCTCCATCAACACGCCATAGGTCGCTTCGGACGTCCCGACGTATGGGGTGAGACCTCGACCGAGTTCGCCAGAAAGCCCGGAAGGAGGGGATGTTCCAAGCCACCAAGCTGACCCCATTTCACATCTGGACCACTTAGTTTTTTTGAAAACGCTTTTTGTTTTTCGCTCCGAGAAAGAATACCGTCTTTGTCCGATGTCTGGGAACATTCAGCGGTTGGGATTGAGAGATGGCACCAATGTCCAAGTTGGGTGGTGCTATGGTGGAGTGTTCCATTCGCAAAGACATCTTGGGGTGCCATCGAACCTCTGAAATCACTACTAGTCGTCTGACAATGACCTATACTATAAACCCTAACCCCTAAAAACCTTAGGGTTTCAAAGCCCCGGCTTTGGACCTTAGGATTTCAACATGTTTCAACCACTCGGTCCATTTTGAAAACAAAGATCCGTAGAAGAACGAGCCCTTGGAATAGCAACAGCTGACGAAAAGGGGCTATGTCGTGCGTGTGGGAGCCCCGAAATGAGAACCTTGACCCATTGAATACCGTTCAAAACAACACCAAGAAACCGTCCTGTGATGCTTGATGTTACAGCCCTGTTTCCAGTGCCATGATCCTCTGTGTCTCTCCACTGTCCATCAAACAGGTCACCTGGTCACCTGGTCACACGGCACACCTGGCGCGCGCGCCGCTTTGCGCCACGCCTTGCCAAAGGTGGATGGCTTGTTCCCAATGAAAGGCGGCGCTGCAGGCGATCATTAAAGAGTTCATGGTGATCACGGTCCTGAGATGAGACGGGGATGTCTATCACACCGTCAACCCCCACACAGCATGCTCTTGCTCCAAAGATCATGGTGTCTTGGATGTTGGGATCATTGGGGCGAGCAGGTCGGAGAATGGTGGCATTCAAGCACCATCCCATCGTCTCATAATATTGTATTTAGGAGGTTAAAACCCGTCAGACCGACCGATGTGGATGTGGATGGATGTCAGTACGTCATGGGAGCCCGTCGGTCACAGTACGTCGACCGAAGTCGGACGCTCATGGTCCGTCATGGTCCCAAGAGGTGAAAAAACATTCGCTCCGGCCCTCTCCAGCCAGGGCGAAGACGAGACTTGACGAGACCGCTACTTTTCCGAAGACCCATTTGGCCTATTTGACCCATGCAGCAAAGCATGATCGCCACCGAGAAATTTGCAGCCTTTTGCTTCTTGATTTCTTGCAGCATTGCCAAGTCATCTGCCCATACCTCTTAGTTCTCCAAAGGCCCAAGAGTTCAGTCCCGCAAAAGATGCCAACCACCATCCAGTCCCAATCCATGAATCCATGTCCACACCCAGATCCACAACGACTCTGGCTAAAGGGGGGGGCCCCCAAGGGCCCCCAATCCATGAATCCATGTCCCAAGCAGAGTGCTTCCAATGCCCCCCTCATCTCTCCAGCCTCTCACCACACCACCGAGCCGCGGCTGGATTCGCTCGTCGCTCGCCCCGCGCCGGGTCGCCCACAGGTGCAGCGCGCGGCGCCACTGGGCCACGGCGGCCAACGAGCTCAAGGTGGTGTTCAGGCTGATGACGTCCGGCCGCACCAGGCGCCTGGTGTTTTATTCCAACGACCCATGGACCCCTAAAATCAACCACCCTCAATGTAGAGAGGTAAATATGCCAGTCCCCATTGGTCGTGTCTGGGAAAGATGAAAAAGACGGCAAAAAGAGATGGATAGAGTATGATAGAGGTGGATGGGTGGATCAGAGGTGTGTTTTCGGGGTGCTGAACTGGTGACTGAGGCGTTTTGGATGTGCGAGATTGGCATGTGGGCTGACATCCCTCTTTTCAAAACTCCTGACACAGCGCCTTGGCATTTCCTCCAAAAGCGACAGGGCTATGGTCCAGTTGGAGGACTTCTCCTCAGCTGTTTGACAAGGCGTCTCGTTGCCAAAGAGGCTCAACCTACCAGACATTTGCAAGAATTGGACGATGGTTGCGGGTTTGCATGGAATCCTCATCTCAAGTCTTATCCAAGGCATGGTCCCGCTATCTCAAACACCCCACAGAATTCACAACGACAAAGCTCCAATGACCGGACTTGTCAGCTTCTGAAGGACATGGATCTGGGCAATGTCTGGCCTGGCGCTGGAGCTATATTAATACACTACCCTTTTCTTTGTCACTTCGTCAGTCCCTTGACGTTCGACCTGCAGAATCCCAGGGTCGAAACCACAAGCCATGGAACCCATTCCGGCCTTTCAGGGGTTCGGTCCGAAGAACATCGCGGAACCCGCCATGCATGGGTGGAACTGGTACCCCAATCATTGACCAGCCCGGCCACATGCCTCGGGGAAGACCCCCATGATCTCTGTTTTTGAAGCATCCGGTAGGATGTTTGGAGGTTTGGACTCATTATTTAATGTTATAATGTTAATGGAACATGATGACTCCGCCAAATCCCCTTAAGGATCAATCACTATCCAATTACAAAAGCATACAACAGCTATACTTATTATATAATGAGATATACAGTATACACACAACACAACGATGAACAGCATCAAACAAACCCACCACCCAAAAAGGCATCTTGATTCCCCCTTCCACTGTTGAGTTTGTTGGTGAAAACCAATTGAAGCATCTTGAAATGACATGAAACGACCTTTCCGACAGGCTTCTGCAGGAACCTTGCAGCTTCAGCCGAGACTCACAGGCGTTCAGTAGCAAGTTGAAGGTGACAAGATCCTCTTGCCTCATTTCTGACAGAAGCAGCAAAAAAACTTTCCCAAGAACAACAGCTTTCCTCTTGCCTGATTCCAGATCCTCTTGCAAGAAGTAACACAGCTTGTTTCAAGGTCGGGGTGTCAGCGGGGGTGTTTCTGAGGCAGGAAAACAAACACCACTTTGGACTTTTGGTTACCGACAGGCACAACAAAATCACCACCTTTCCATGGCGGAGGTGTCCCCAAACCTGGGCTTCATGGATGAACGCAGACTGCGTAAGGAAATACTGGCAGATTCTGGGATCTGCCACCCCTTTGTTGCAGTTCATGGACGAGGAACAATCCCTTCTGCGTCTGGAACAGGTTGAGGGCCCGCTGCCATTGGCTGCCTTTGGCGAAGAGGTCGATCAATGCCTGGAGCAAATGCGGTTGCAAACAGCAAGGCCAGTATACATTCATTTTGCAGTATGTATTCCCATCATCTGGCCATGTTTGGTTTGAACATGTTAGAAACTGACACTCAATGTCGTCAGGTCTTGCTTGGAAGGTCCCATCGTGAATCGGTTAGTTAGGACTGAGGACAAGGATGCAACGGAATGCAACGCCATTGTTGGCATGGTTACTATCACTATCGTTCATTGTATTGCATCTCTTTCTGCCGGTCACCTGCTCTCCCTCATGAAGTGTATGAACACCAAGCACTTATGACCGCATCCCATGCAGCTTATTATTTAGATCAACAAAACTAGACACATCATGACACATCGGGCTACCTTGTGTTTATGCACCAGAAAAAAAATGCTCACGGTGTTGTACACTGGACTAGGAGCGGTTCAATCACGGTGGACCGGATCCTTCACGGAATTCAAGGAGCTTCGCCCAACGCTCTGCTCGACGGACGAGAGACTCCAAAGGAAGAGCTGCAAGCCGCAGTGCTTAGCCTCTGCGCGTTCGACTGAAGCCCTTCGTTGGAAAATGAGGACATCCACAACTCCAGGGTTGAACCAATTGGATTTGGGCCCAGTGTACTGCCCAACCACTGTGAACTTACATCAACCTACATCCCAGGTGTGGTGCCATCGTTCACGTGCCTTCACAGGGCAAATCCATAGGGCATCGTTAATCCACAGTCCATAGATTCCATGGCCGACCCGGTTGTTGGGTCATCGTTGAACTGAACACTTGCTGGGTACGGAAGGCCGTGCGGCCTTGCGCACCTTTTTCACACATCGCAACATCCTCGAGTTCTGACACATCGCGGTTGGTCGTTACTGTAGCTGATGAGGTTGGCATTCAATGGATTCTTCAGAAGTTGCGGTATGCACTCAAGTTTATTGTAATGGCTTGTCATCACCATCACTGCTGCTTTCTCATTCACCGGCCCGTTCTGGTTGGTCCAACAGGCTGAGACTCTGGCATGTTTTCATGTCCCGCAATTGCCATGTCAATACTACACTCCCTTCATGAGATAACCATGGAAGTGGATGCCACTAAAACCCCTTGGAATTACGATGTTCCCCTACCAAAACAGCTGGTGCCATCCCACGTCGTCATGATTTCAGTGTAGTGTAGTGATTCGAAAACCGGGCTTTCGGAACTCGCCAGGTCTTTCGGTCCAGGCCTTCAAGCACCACCACCGAAACCGCTTTCGTCGTTCGAACCAGTGCCGTTTCGGCGTCCGTTTCGGCGCGTGCCGTGTCTTTGGGCCGTTGAAGGTGTGTCCCATCGGCATCGCACCGCTCGCCTCTGCAGCCCTTGGAGCACCAACGGCCACTGGAGACCTTTGGCGAAGGCCCATAACCTCGCAGACTGCGAATCGACGGTTGAAGCAAACAACACGTCAAAAAACATGGTTTTTTTGGGAAGGCCAAACAAGTAAAGCCAAACAAAATCCAATCCAATCCACCACTAGTCACTAGCTCTTCAACAAACGTCCAAGCAACTCGGCATTCTGCGCCACCAAATCTGGACGCAGCTGCTGACCTGCGAGACTCCCTTGAACCAGGCGGGGCAGGCGGCTCGGAAGACCACCGGATCCAACGGCATGGAAGCAACTTGGTGTGTAGCTCGAATAGTGATGATGCAAGCCTCAGCACTTCATGATCTTCATGGATGGATTGGGCTTCATGTTATTCCTATTCACTTCTTAAGCCTATCAAAGCACCACCTCGAAAAGGTTGGTCTCTAGCCCGCAGCCGAGTCTTCTCGGGTCGACTCTTCACACCTCTGAGGCGGTCGATCACAGTGATGGACAGCTGCCATTGGGATTGCCGGGTGCAAGCAGACATCACCGAGGTGTACGTCGCCAGGCTGGGCAGCTGTTTCCGGCGACCTTGGAGCTCCAAGAAAGCCACCTTAGGCGTCGGCAGGGTGGGGGGGCGTTGGAGTCCAACGCCGGCCATGCGATGTCGTGCCGCGGGTGAGGGTGAAGGGATGGCTCAGATCTTCAGAGCTCCATGGACCAAGGAGCTCCACGGATTCCAGGCCTCTCCATGTTGGAATCGAACGAAGTACATGTTGTCTTGGTTCTCAAATTATATGTGGTTTAGATGGCTGATGGCAAAAACCTGAAGATGTCCTTTAGATGGGGATCCACACACACAAACAAAATACAAACCCTTTGGGGGATTGTGCCATCTATTCTGAAAACCAATATACTACCGGCTGATCACATAGGAGTTACAAAAGTGCATCCTGGGAATGGCCAACCAGGGTAGCTAAGAGCCGTCTATACCTGCCGCTTAAAGGTAGCTAAGAGCCGTCTATACCTGCCACCTAAAGTCAGGGAAGATCTATAACCGACCAAATGGCTTGGGAATCAAAGACAATCCTGTGTCATGTGGCACCGGTTACACGGGAGAAAGACAAAGGCAGGCATCCTTCATCATCCTTTCTTAACTGAAGTGGGAGTGCATCGAATTACGTCAAACTTTGGCGGGTTAAGTCCTATCTCATATGCATGCCATGTTTTTCAATTCTTCAGGAACTTCAGGATACACTTAACCTGGGATAAGTCTCAAGACACTAGCAGCCCTAACTCCTATGTGCTTAGCCGGTAGTATAATGGTCTTATCATGATATGGTCATGGTTTGGAACCAGTCCACTTGTTGTGCTTGGATCTGATATTCTAGGTCTTCATTCTCAATCAACACATCCAGAAACTTCCAGAAAAACTTGGATTGATGGGTCTGAAGCATAGACACCGCTTTCTGCAATTTCTATATCAAAACATGTCGAAATATGTCGAACAACATGGCCTTCTTTGAGGTCCGGTTTCTCCGATTCCTGTGCCCCCCTACATCGACCCATGCTTGTTTCCAACGAAACTGGCACTGGCGGCAAAATCCAACGAAACTGGATGACCATGTTTGGGAACCAAACAACAACCAAAAGAGTCGGTGAAACATGCAAAGTCTAAATGTCACAATCAAACTACAAACTATACAACAGTACGCCCCCCAAACCCATACTCCACCTTTTTCTACTCCTAACTGCTCCAAGTGTGGCTCTACAATCTGTTGCAACATGACCGTTCTGACATCTCGCGACCACTTTCGCAACCAAAACACTGCATCCTGCCAGCTCTGCTGGGCCAGTGGCAAACGCCTCACCTGCCGGAACGTTGGACCCTGTGCCTACAAACATTAATTTTCGTGCAGCAACTCGCAACTGGTGTTGTCGGGCAATACTTTAAACAAACATAAACTTGAGCAGAAAACTACTCTTGATACCTGGAACCAATCTGACCTCTTGATTGGCAAAATGTTCCATTGGCAGAATTTAAGATCTCACACTCCATGCTATTAGGATCTATTAGGTAGAACAACCATTCTGAACCACCAGGATGTTAATCTTTTCTCCACCGCACCGGTGCCTTCCGCATGGACCATGGCGCCCCGTCGCTTCCAAACCACTCGTTCAACGGTTTCCACCGCGGCCGGGCCAGCAACCGGCACCGTTGGACGCGAACGTGCTGAGTTGTTGAGCGCGAACTCAAACTGAACTGAAGAAGAAGACATGACAATCAAACAGGGTTGATGATAAGGTGAATGAAGGCTCACTTCTTTGAAGATCAGGAACAAATTGATGGTGTGGACCTAGGTGGTGCACCTTGAGACCACGATGATGATCCTCGTCGTCTGACACGTGTTTAAAAACAACCATGTGATGGCAGTAGCATGTGCGTCATCCAAGAATGCACGTCAATGTGTTCAGAGCCTGGATTGGACAATCAATAAAACGTGTGAGCTTTGGTAAAAACATCCTTCTTTCTCGTCAACGTCCGTTGAGTCATGACAAATGCGCCTCTTAACAACACCAATATTTTTAAGTATAGATTGCAAAAGTCAAGACAGCTAACTCTGCGACACTAAAAGCAAACATATACAAACAACATGCACAAAATATATTTATCGAAAAAAAAAAAAAAAAACTTGTCAGGCATCTTCAAGGCAGGATGGGTTGCCCCAACAAATACATCTAGTGAATTCAACCATAATCATATTCAAACACGAGTCCGTCTGAGGGAATCTCCCTTCCAGCTCCGTCGGAGATGAAATCCGCTTTTACAGCTGCCGGCATTGGCAATCTGTCAAACGACTGAATGCATCGATCAAGCAATCACCACCTGAGTGGCACTTGATGGAACTCGATGGCGCTCCGAAGGAAGGAAGGAGCGCGATCGCATCGGAGGCGCTCGCTGTGGGGCGATGAGGCGATCGGATCTCGTCTGGCGTCATGAAGTTCGAAGCGCTGGAGACTGGGATTTGCCAAGAAGGACTGGACTGAATGTACCGCCACCCAGCCAAACCCCCACATTTTCAGGGAATGGTGGACCAAGGTCGGTTTTTCATCTCCCTACTCTGACAATTCCTCTGACAAAGATCATGGATTTTCTGTATAGGGCAGTGGTGCTTTTCCATCTTCTTTCCACAGGTGGTGGTGGTCCCGAAGAGACCGGTCCCCTTGGGTCTGGTTCCGGCGAAGTGGGATGAACAAGCTTGCGGGCTTATGGAGAGATATGTAACCCTAGGGCTCCAAGTACCTCCTCAGAAGGTATTTGGACCCTCTAAACCCACCCCAAACACCTTCTTAGAAGGTACTTGGAGCCCTAGGGTAACCAAAACCCAAAGCAATCCAATGCAATCCATCTCACCCGATCCTATGCACCCTCTCTCTAGGACGCCGATCATGGAAACCAACAATGGCCCCATACCAGCCAACGTTTTACAAAGAGGCTCCCAGTCTCCCACTTCCACTTCTGCCCTCCATGGCCCTCCAATCCCTCCGAATCCATCCCAAGGCCCAAGGCTCTTCTCGAATCTCATCTGAATCCATCTGAACCCCATCCCATCCATGGGTTTCCCTGCCTTCCACCAACTTCTTGGCCTCTTCTTGCAAAGCAATCAAGGGCACATCCACCTGGTCCGTTCTGGTCCGTTCAAGTCGGTCCAAGACAAAGATGCCCCAGTCGGTCCCAGTCGAGGGGTTTGAGTCGATTGCTTCTGCCTGTTTCCAGGATGCATTTTCTGAAGCTGAAGCTTCGCAAGACCAGTTGAACAGTGGAGGGGCGTCTTATACGGTGTATCTCCGTCTTGCAAACGGTGAAACTGCTCCATTTTGGGGACCAGATGTACTCACTATAGTGGTTTCTGTACATATCAGAAAACGCCATGCAGCCACATTTTGGCCAAATTTCAACCGGCAGGCAACATCTCAACATGAAAACAAACATGAGTTAACGTTCCAGGGTCAAGCTACCATTCAGTTGATGCAGGATTTTATCAAAGGCACAACATTAGGTTTTTGTGAGCTTGGCTGGTATATATAATATAATATGCCATCATAAAGGGCCATGTGCAAGGGGGGTGCGCCTGTGTTCGAATACCACTCGTGCACTTGCACGTCAACCATTAAAACGCCCCCTAAGTGGTCAAGCAGCCAATTTGAACTTGTGGCCTCCCAAACAGCCAGTTTACACGCAAAGAATCGTTTGCCACACTTTGGCACAACTACCTTCATCCGGGCAGCCCAGGTAGTCCTTCCAACTGCACCGAACAACAGTTTGGATGTAGTGTACTCAGCTTCCATGAAGGGACATCCAACCATGGCGCTCAAACTGAGTGGGTGTCTTCCTGTCTTTTGATCATCAAGTACATTTCAGCTTCCGGTTCTATTGACGTTGAAATCTTGGTTTTGCTGAAGGAGTGCAGCAGATTGCATCACACCAAAATACAACTCAAGAGCTATTCCGGCTATTCCCATCAAACTCAATCACTCATAGCTTCAAAAAACCATTTCGATATATGTTCATGGCTTTTCTTTCAACCTTTCTCTTCCACCCGGGAGTTGGCCACGGACCGCCGCGGCACCTGAGCCCCTCGGAGGACCACCGCCACGGTGTTCATGGTCTCGGGTACCTGAAAAGGGAGAAAACGAAGCACAACCATGACATGAACGGCCGAAACGATCTGAGTGCTTTTTGGGGCTTGTTGAGTTGAAGCTGCGTGTGGCCCGGTTTCGCTTTCTCACTTCCGATATATGGATCGGCTCGGCGTGACTTGGGAGATGACTGCCAGGTGACCGTATGAATAGTGGAGAGTGCTTTGTTGGTCTCAAAAGAACATACGGTATGTGACATATGTGAACCGTAGGATCTCAAAAAAGGTATGATCACAAAACAACCGGGTGACCGTATGTTCTTTTGTTGGGGCTTTGTAGGATCTCAAAAGAACACAAAAGGTTAGAATCAGCTTCGGATAATAAAAGGTGGCAACACAATCGCTAGTGACACGCATGTGACACGCATGATTTCATCGAAATGGAGGACCATAAACATCGCAAGACGCGTGATTGTTCTTTTTGCATTTATGACATACTCCTGATCACAAGACCACGTGGATGTCCGGGTTCGGATCACCAAACTTCCCCACTTCATCTTCCAAAACTGACATGCACGAGACGCCCTGAAACCTTCGCCCCTGGCGAACGGTTCGATGGGTCGAACCAGGTTTGAGCTGCTACACGTCCCGTCACGCCCGTCACGCCAAAGCCATTGGGTGGGGGGGGAATCGGAGAAACATCCCAACAACCGATGAAGGGGGTTTCTTTGCATCTTTATACTATTGTCAGCCTGAAGCATCTCAGGTTCGGAGGTGGGGTATTGCTTGGTGAATGCTTTCTTTCATCAAAGAGTGGCAGACCATGGTACATGGACCAGTACAGCAACCACCAATGAACGCTCCAAACTGCGACAGTCCGGTCCCAAAAGATTTGGGTGTGGGTCATGGCGCTGGGCTACCTGGGCTGACCAGAGGAAATGAACCGAATCCACTGCGAAGGAGGTCAACGTTTGACCCGCAGCCATTTAAGCTTCTCCCCGGGTGTGGTTGCTGAGCTGTATTGGTGCAGGGAAATCAGGGAATTCAGGAGAGTCAGATGAGGTCATACGGAAACCAGTGAAGTGGATTCCCCCAACGGTTTCCACACCTGGTCACTCATTGCTATGCCTTATGTACGGGCCCAGCTGGTCGCTCAAGTCCCCCATTTTAATCCATTTGAGGCTCTTAGGCTTGGACGTCCGTCCACAGTCCAGATCTGAATGCCAAAATGGACCAGCACCTGTGGTTGCCACTGGCAGCTGCCACTTGCGAGGCGGTCAACTCATCTGCTGTGATCTTCTCTGCATCAGCTCCAAAGTCCAACAAGAGCTGCACGACTTCCAAGTGACCCTTGCAAGCTGCCAAGTGCAAAGCAGTTGCGCCATTCTTCATAGCAACATCTTTCTCTCTCCCATGTTCCAGCAAAAGCCGCAAAATGTCAAGGTGGCCACGGAAAGCTGCAACGTGCAAGGCTGTTGCCCCATTCTCCATTTGAGTCTCGCTGCTGTCTGCACCAGCCTTCAGCAGCATCTCAACAGCCTCAAGGTGACCCTTTTCAGCTGCAAAATGCAAAGACTTTGTTGTGTTGGCGCCTGCCGTCAGCAATAGCTGCAGAACTTCCAAATGGTTCCGGTCACTTGCAAGATTCAGGGCAGATTCTCCATGTCGTGTGTTCTGGTCCTGGTCGGCTCCAAATGCCAACAGCAGTCTCACAACCTCTGGATGATTATTTGTGGTTGCTAGGTGCAAAGCAGTGTAGCCATCATCCAGTCTAATCTTGTCTGTGTCTACCTCAAACAGCAGTAGCCAGTGCAAAACTTCAATGTGGCCACTTGACGCAGCCAAGTGCCAAGCCGTCGTCCCGTTCTTCATTGCGATGTCTTTCTTCGCCCCTCCATCGAGAAGCATTTTGACAAATTTGGGATGTCCATGTGCACTTGCTAAATGTAGAGCTGTTGCCCCATCATGAGTCATCTGGTCTATATCTGCCCTTGCATTGAGCAACATCTGTGCAACTCGTAGGCCACCAAGTTGAGCTGCCACATGCAAAACTGTCAAACCGTCAGTATCAGCCATGTCTGTGTTGGCCTTCCTCTGCAGTAACATCTCCACAACTTCAGTATACCGTTTCGACACTGCCAAATGCAGAAGTGTTTTACCATTATCTGATCTCGCAGAGTCTGTGTTTGCACCAAATTCCAGCAACAATGTCACAATCTTGGGATGGCCATGTTCATTGGCTAAATACAAAGCCGATGCCCCATCGGACCTTACCTTGTCTTTGTCAGCCTTGGCCTGGAGCAGGAGCCGGACAACTTGCAAGTGACCATTTTCGGCTGCCAAATGCAGGGCTGTTGTTCTATCATAAGCACACTTGTTGGTATCTGCCCTTGCATTCAGTAGCTTCAGAGTAACTGCTGGGCAGCCAATTTGAGCTGACACATGCAAAGCTGCGAAGCCGAACATATCAGCCATATCTGTATTGGCCTTGGCACAAAGCAACACCTTCACAAATTCTATATCCCGCTTGAAAGCTGCCAAATGCAGAACTGTTTTACCATTATCTGATCTCGCAGAGTCTGTGTTTGCACCAAATTCCAGCAACAATCTCACAATCTTGGGATAGCCATTTTCATTGGCTAGTATTAAGCAGATGTCCCATCAACCCTGACCTCGTCTTTGTCAGCCTTTGCCTGGAGCAGGAGCCTGACAACTTGGAAGTGATCATTTTCGGCTGCCAAATGCAGAGCTGTTCCATGACCAACTGCAAACATTCTTGGGTTTGCTCCAAGCGCGAGCAACTGCTGTACAACGTCAATGTCGCCACTGGCAGCTGCCAAGTGCAAAGCTGTTGTCCCATCTTTCTTGGCCTGGTCTTGCTTCGCGCCTGCATCAAGAAGCATCTTGACAACTTTGGGATGGCCATTGGCAATGGCTAAATGCAAGGCTGCTGTGCCATCCTTGCTGACTTTGTCTTTGTCAGCATTGGCCTGGAGAAGCAAACGGACTGTCTCCACGTGACCTTTATCCACTGCCACATGCAACACATACTGCCCATTAACAATGACATTGTCTGCGTCTGCTCGGAATTCCAGCAACAGCCGCGCAACTTCGATGTGGTTCTGCAAAACTGCCTTGTACAAAGCTACCGTCAGCTGAACCCTCTGGTTCGCATATGCTGGGAGAAGCAATTGGACAACTTCTAAATAGCCACTGAATGTTGCTAACAAGAGTGCTGTGTTGCCATTGGTGGTGATCGCCTCGTGGTTTGCATGGGCGTAAAGCAGTAGCTGCACAATCCCAACGTGATTATGCAAAGCTGCCAAATGCAATGCCGACCGATCATCTGCAACTCTGACTTTGTCTATAAGGAGATTTCATTACAATCAGGAGTTGATTCAAAATGTTCAGGAGTCCAAGGTTTTATTGTTAACGCCGATCCAAACCACCTCAGATTCAACATAATGTTGAATCGTTTGCTGACAGCTTCCACACGGCATCGCCTTTTCCTCTCTCTTGAGGGTAGTCAGGGTCATCTTGAGATGTTTTCAAAACGACTGGCAGCCAGCAGAGATCCCATATTCTGGCAAACACGCTTGATTCCAGTATTATTGAAAGATAATCAAACCCGCGTCATTGAAAGAACCAACAACCGGCCAGTCAATGCAACTCAATCTCGAGACTACTCTTGGGCAGGCTTTTCCAACCGGAGTTCTCAATAAAACATCGTGAAAACACGAGAATCCATCAGATTTAAACATCATGGGATCATATACATATTAGTATCTGAGTGTGAAAACACGAGAATCCATCAGATTTAAACATCTTGGGATCATATACTGGAAAGAAGCCACGCCCAGGCAGTCTACATCGGGCATCACACAAGTCGCATCACTCCACCAGAAGGCAACTCAAGATCAGAATACATAAAGTATAGTGGCTTACCTTGGATAACATAATCACATAACAAACCTGAAAACCTCACTATGAAGCCAGAGCTCACATAACCTGACATAACACCACATGGATCCTTAGCCAAGCTGCGTGGCGAGATCTCCTTAGATGTCGCTCGGCTGGGTGGGTCTTGGAATGGGTTGGCCGAGTTAAGCTAAAGGCAGCTAAGAGGCGTTGGATTCCTTTTGGTAGAACACCCGCCAAACCCTGTCAAGGACTTTGCTGGCACCCAGCTCCTCAAGAAAAATCAGAACAGATCTGACCGGTTTCACTTGACCTCAGACGCCTAGTACTAGAGTTTTAGAGAAACCACCATCATCCATAGTATTCATTGTGTTCACATTAAAATTAGTATTTGGATAGTAATCAGCATCCAACAAACCTCGAACCCAGTTGATTGGTTGGTCATGTCCAAAGACGCCCGGGAAACCCAAGCTCGTTATCATGATTGATGCCAATGATGGTTGTACCGACCTCACAATTGAGGTTCCGATGAGGGTGCCTGGCATCGCACAATGTTTGCCGGGCTCCGATTCTTGTAAATTCAAAGACAACAAAAGGGTCCAACACTAGATTGCAGTTAACCCGTCGTTTGATTCAGATATCACTTCACCCGTTGTTTCTAGACCATGCTAGTCCCTTTTCGTTGGTCGTCATACTGACTACCAAACGCTACCAAATGAAGTTAGTACTTTTAGTAGCGAATCCGCAAAAGAACCAATACTTGCACCAACTCCAGGGGCCTCGGCAGTGAATGCACTGGCACAATTTGTGTACTTGAAGCCGGAGGTGATGGAAGCATAGTTGAAATAGATGGGGGTGGGCTTCGGCTTTATGATGTAGCGCTGAGCTCCTGACCAACACCCACTTACAATTGATCGCACGACAAATAATTGCATATATTTCTGACCATAAACAATGACATAATAAGCGCTTACCTCCATCTGTGACCGGGCTCAGCAAGTCGTGGCTGTTTATCGTGGGATCTGTATGACCAGCTTCCTCCATTTCTCTCAGCAGTTGTGCCCAGCTGCACCGGTCGGAATCTGAGGTGGCCTTGGTGTTGCCATTGGTATCTGGCACCT